GGGGCTCAGTGAGGGGCTCGATGCGGGGCTCAGTCCCAAGACCCTGAGATCACGACCTGAGCTGAAGGCAGACACTTAACCAACTGAGCTACCCAGGCGCCCCAGCTCCTGTCATTCTATTCTTCTCTACTTTGAAGAATTCAAATAACTGTGACTACATACTGCAATTAAATATATTCCTGAAGTTACTGTTGCAGGATTAAACCTTTCACCCTCTTCTTCAGTAATAAAGAAAATCACTATTTGTATATTTTGCCAATATCTAAGAAATAACCTGCTAAAAACTGATTTAATCTTCATACTCTTTCTTTTCTTAAAGATTTTATTTTTAAATAATCTCTACACCCAGCATGGGCCTCGAACTCACAACCCTGAGATTAAGAGCCACACGCTCCAACTGAACCAGCCAGGTGCCCCTAATCTTCATAATCTTTCTTAAGACACTCATTTCCCTTGGCTTCTGCAATAAAATCTGCAAAAAAAAAAAAAAAAAAAAAACCTTCCACATTTTTCTTCTCTCGAATTTCTTCTTAGACTCTACTGCGAGTTCATCCTCCTATACCCAAAACTCTAAATATTAGTGTTTTAAAGGGAAAGCCTAAGCATTTTCATTTCTCATACTATAGTCTCTCCCTTGGTGGTCTTCTTGCTTCATCATGGCCACAACTACAATCTATAAATAAATAAATGACTTCCATATTATCTTTAGTGCAGACCTCTCCTCTAAGTTCTAGATCCCATACCCAACTGCCTACTGACATTACCATGTGATGACAAGGCAGCTTAAACTCAATAGATCCAAAACTAAATTCATGGTCTCCCTGGATTCATTATTCAAGACTGGATCCACAATCCATGTTCAGTCAAACCCTAGTTCATCTCTAGTATTTTGTGTTGTTAGTGAATGAATGGCACCACCAACCATCCAAGATGCATACGGCAGAAGTCTAGAAGTTATCCTTTATAACTTTCCTCTTCCTCCCTCTCTAAAGCTAATCTATTCCAATTTCCATTTATGGATATTACTGTATGAATTTCTATCTATTTTTTACACTAATACCAAAATAATCTCCCTTGCTAGTTTCATTCCTCTACTACCCATATTATTACTATAATGTTAAGGTCTCTATCAATTGAAACTTCAGACTTCTCACCTTTCCTGTCCATCCCCCACTTACATCTCAACAATCTAATGTATCATGCCTTCTAAATATTCTACTTGCTCTAGCCACAAAATCTACTTTATAATATCTGCATATGATTTATTTTTTCCAATCCCTCTTCCCTAGACAAGCCATGTCTTTTTTTTCTCTCAAAATTCCTCTTGGAATCCTTCACTCATTAATTCCATCCAATATCACTCCTTATGGGGGAAAAAAAAGTTACACATTCAGGGCCACAGTTTATTTAACACAATAATCTCTCTTTGACAACGACACCTATAGAACATTTCATAGTTTTCCTCCCAGACAGAGTCCTCAAAGTCTGCCATTATCCAAATAAACTATTTCCTTTAATAATATAAGTACCACATCTATGTATACATGTTTTATATATCTTTTATAAACATGTATATATTATCAACCTTTTCTATTTCATAAGGTTATGAATTTCACAACTTTAACACAAATCATATATAGCTGAACTTTCTTCATTTGATCTGCAATACCTCTCTCAAGTATCAAAGTGGTCCTATCATTTCAACATTTTCTCATTTGGTGAACAGTTGATAGTTTTTTCACCCATATCATTTGTGATTTTAAAGGAATACAAAAATAAATACAGCATGAATCATGTCCTTATACTCTGCTTAAAGGGCATGACCCAGCTGTATTAATATTTGCATCCCTAGTTTCCATAATAATGTCTCACAAAGAGAAGGTGCTCAATACACGTTCAACAGAATTAAAAGAATTTTGCTTAGAACTGATGTTGTAATGTTCACAAGTGCCAAAAAGAAAGCAGAACTTCTCAAATGTGTGAACTCTGTTTTGTTTTTGTTTTTTTTTTCAAGAAAAATGATATTTGGACTAAAAAAGGGTAGAAAGAATTGATTCCCAGTATGGGTGAGAAGACTGTAACAGAGCACCTTGCTGCTCTAAATGAAATGAAGCTCCTCGTGAATGTGATCACTGAATCACTGCTAGTGGAGGAAGCATGGAGACCTGGAGGGTTGCCAAAGACTGGAAACAAGCATATAAATGTAGATCTGATTTTTTAAAAAAATAAAAGAGAAAAGAACAGAATTGACAACAAAATAGTCCAGTATACTCGGCATCAATCCTTTCCTAAATTCAGATTATTTATTTAAAAAACAGCTTCTAATCACTTTGAAACAAAAATGGTAAGCATTTGTGGAACCAACTTAAGTAACCAGACTAATCGAATTTCCTTTCTTTTTTTAAAGAATGTCTTTATAGATAGACTTGTATCAAAAAGAAGCAATAAAAATAGTATCAGATTTCAACAAGGTAGGATTTCAACAAGGTATATGACCAGGCTCTCATTACGCCATTAAGATAAATATAAGGTGGATAACAGTACAACTAAGTGCCAGCTAATTATTTGAATGATCATAACAATGAGTGTTTCTTAATGAAGTGCCATCAACTTGAAGGTCTGTTCTACCCACAAGGTTCAGGATGCCTCTCTGTGGCCCTCTCCTATTCAAAAATGTTATCAGTAATTTGAATAAAGATGCAAAAGGCTACTATACTACTGCCTTCATCCAATATATGGCTGACATGAAACTAGGTGGCACAAATATGTGTTAAGAAAGACCTGGGAAAAAACAATGATAAGCCAGATAAATGGGCTAATTCTAATTAAGACGAAATTTAATAGGGAAAAATATCTAAGGTATCACTGTCCAAAAAAAAAAAAAAAATACATATAGAACTCTGAGATGAGCAAGTCCCATGACTTAACTGACACATATGTAAAACAAACAAAAAAGGGGTTTAATGGCTTTAATTGACAGCAGTCTCACTTCAATCTGACAGCAGCAAGCTTGGTATGGTGAGGATTTCAGAAAAGCGAATGTGATGCTAGATGCAGCAGTAGCAGTATCTCAAACATGGGAGGCAGCAGTCCTGCTCGATGCTGGACTGATCCGACCACAAATGGGAGGTTGTGTATCCTTCTAAGGGAGGGTCACAGTCTTCAAAGGATCATAACCATATTGGCACATGTTCAGAACAGAACAACCAGGATGCTCAGGACCCTGGATACCACTCCACAAAAGGAGAGGCAGGAGGGAATAGAGATTTATAAATAGGACAAAACAATGCCTTGAGAGGAAAATGGTGGCTACTTTCATTCAGTCACTCAATGAACATGAATTTCAAATCTAGTTCAGGCCAGACACTGTGACAATGTCTGGGCATACAGACAGAAGATAGTCTATGTCCGTGGAATATTCATATGCTTATCTGAAGAGCTGAAAAAGCCATGTTCTGAAAAATGATGAGACTGTTCTATACGATTTCATAAGGTAGAAATAAAACCCGTGGAAAGAAGTTAGAAAGTAACTGATTTCAGCTCCATATGAGAGTATTTTAAGAATCAAAGATGTCTTAAGAAGCTTCCTGAGAAGAATGCAAGGTTCCCATGAGGAATGTTGTACTTAGTGGAGAGACTGCTGAAATAAGACAGGCACTGAACTGACCATCTTTAATGTTCCTCGTATTCTATGCTAGGACTCTATATTTCCCTAGGGAATGGACTCTCACCAGATTCACCGTACTTGTGCACTTCAGCATCACAGGTTTCCTACAGCTGCTACTTCCAACTTTGTACCCTGTCCCCCACTGAGATGATGCTTTATAACGGGGAACGGATCTGAGAGCAATAGGAATAATGGAATACAAGAAACTGAACCATCAGGACACGGAACACACACAAAAAAATCAATACTGTTCAATGTAAAGAAAATGTAGGAATTCTCTATCCTTTAAGTCATAAATTCAATTTAAAAATATCTCACTATGTTCAATTAACCTAAACAAGGACTTGTCAATGTACTGCATCTCTTGTTGGGAGCCATTTTTTTCTAACCAACAAGGAAAAAACAATTTTAACTTAAGATCACTTTGAGAATTTGTGTCCTGAATAAACACTCCAAAAACCTCCATTATAAGGGTATGTGGAAACTAAGTTTATAACATATTTCTTTAAAAAATGATTTATTGGATGTAGCTGACCTAATACCATGAACTAATCAAATTGTGGAATTCTGATTAAATGGCTACTTAAGTTTAATCCATTTGAAAAAAACACAGGCAAGATAAACAGAAAAGGCCTAGCCCATTTAGTTCTGGCTTTTATAAATTGGTTTAATACCCTTTAAGCTTACTTTCATTCATTTTATTTTGTAATTTTAAAACAGTCTCCTATATTGGCTCCATATGCTACAACTGGGTATTGAAAGAGTTCATCCTTCCAAACTGTTAATACTAACTTCTTAGCAGTATTACTAAGCTGTCCCTTACACTTTAGCGCTTTCTCAATTTGGATACAATAAATGGGCCACAATTCGATTACCAAGGGCTCTTTCTTTTTAAGAGCAGCCTGGAAAAGACGAAAAGTGAGAAAGAAAGGAGATCATGTTTAACCACCAGCCCTGAAAAAAGGCTTCCCCTCTGGCTGTCAACTCTGACGGCGCTCTACCATTTCTCAGCACACTGCCTGGTCATTTCAAATAAAAAAAGAAAAAGAAACCAAAATAGATTCCAGTTTTCCTGGGACAGGGAGATCCCCTTTTGTAGAAGTGGCTAAAGCTATAGACTCCCCATGGGATTTCATCTCGTTGCCGAGGCAGCGCCAACAGAGGCGTCCGGCGCCAGGTCAGCGCCCGCCCGCCTGGAGCCCACGGTGGCCCCAACCATCATAAGAGCAACCCCGGCCGAGCCCGGAGCCGCAGAGTCCCAGCCGCGACCCCGGACAGCCTCGCGAGCGCCCCGGGACTTTGGCGGAAGGCGGGGAAACGCGGCTCGACTTACAGTGACACCATCCTAGGTGACAGCACCAGTGCAGCTTGAAGCATTTGCCGTGGCTGTGCGTGGCACAGATGGAAAGCCCGTCGCACGGCTGGAAGTCGGGTCTGCGGGCAGCGCAACTCCGCGCCAGGGCCTGAGCCTCGTCCACTTTCTCGCTCTTCCAACCCCGCTCGGGCGCCGACGCCGACGCCGCACTCATTTCCGCTCCCTCCGCGGAGCCGAGGCCCGGAGCCCGGGAGAAGCGGCGTCTGGGCGGGCAGGAAGCCGAGCCGGCAGCAGGCGTGGGAGGGCGCGGGCCGGGAGTCACGCCAGCGCGCGTGGCGGTGGCGGTAGCGGCGGGAGCGCTGCGTCCCAGGCTCGCAGAGGAGCCGCCCCGGGCGCTGCGACCGGGGACTGGGCCTGCCGCCGCCTGCCTTCCTCCGCCGCGGCGCGCGCCGCGTCCCCACGCGCACACGGGCGCGCGCGCTGACCGGTCCCGGCAGGCGCCAAGCGTCGGTCAGCGAGCCCGGCCCCTTCACACACGCTGTCGGCGTCCCCTCCCGTCACAGCAAGTCCCTGACACTCACTCACTCATTCCTCCGAGACCGACGCCGACCGACAGACGGCCATTGTGAACATACAAGCGCCTCGGCGGCTTGGTATTCACAGGCACAGCAGCTTACACGCGCACTTCCCACACACACTTCCCGCCGAGGTGGGTCGTCTCGAGAACTCCACCGAGGACTGTGCACACCGAGGACACGCCCACCCGAGCCGCTCGGTGGGCTGGTCCCCGCGCATCTGCCAGCGAGGTTTTCTCAAACACACAGCCTCTCCCCACACGCGGCTCACATTTCCCTCGTACACGCCTCCCAGAGTAGGCACAGAGGCCCCTCGGAGGCGCGCGCGCGCATGAACGCGCGCGCGCGCACTCCCCCAGGGCATGCCTCCCGCTCCCGGCGCGGCCACTCCGCCGCGCTCCAGGGACCCAAGCCTCCCGCCCTGGGCCGCCGCACCCGCGGGAACCATTGCCCGCTGGCCCTGAGGGCGCCCTCCCGCCCCAGCCCCAGTCTCCATGGGGGCTGCAGCCCCACCTTGCTGAGCGGGAAAGTAACCTGGTGGGGGAGGGGGCTGCGTGTGTGTGTGTGTGTGTCTGAGACAGAGAGAGATGCATTTGCGGTGCACAAGACTGGTGTGTGGAAGGTGTTGATGGGTGTGTAGTTTGGTGTGTATGTGGTATGTGGTTGTCTGATTGTTATGTTGAGTATGTGTGTGTGGTTGGATGCGTTAAGTGTGTACGTGGTATATGTGGAATGTGTGTAGTGTGCATGGTGCATGTGACCGTTTCCTGGTGTGTGATGAGGTGTGTGTATACAGGAGAATGTAGTGTGGATGTATACGACCAATGTGGAGTGTGGGTGGTGTGTATGTTTGTGTAGTGGAGTATATGTGGTCTGTGTAGTATGTGCAGTTGTGTATGCGTGTACACAGTGTGCGGGTGGATGTGGTTCCATACGTTTTGTGTATATGCACATGGTATGTGGTGACATATATATTGTGTATATGTGTATGTGTGCCGTTGTGGGACCTGTGACCAGTATGTCGAGTGTGTGTGCCCAGTGCATATATGGGCAGAGTTGCGTGTGTGTGGTACATGTGGGTGTGGGCACACAAACAGGACTCCTGTCTGCCATGGACTCTTGTGTGTGCCTTTGTGTGTTAATGCCTGCCCTGGCCAGCGGGTGTGACTGGCCCGGATGGTGGCTGAGGCTCCTCTGCACGATCAGCTTGCCTTCTTCCCTCCTGGGGACGAGTTGCTCCAAATAGATTTTCCATGCCAGGCTCAGCTGCTGAGAACCCACCCCGGGCTGGATTCAGTGAAGAGAAAACAAACCATTTGCTCCCAGGGAGCATGGTTGGGGATTAGCATTTCCCTGCAACAAGGCCAGACCTAGCCTTGAACACAGAAAAGGAGGGGACCTACTCTCAGTTATTTGCCGTTTTTCAGAGCAGAGGAAAATGCCTGTAATTGCCAAGGTTCCGGGAACAACAACAAAGCCTTTCAGTACAAGTGCTGTGTGGGAACATATTTATGCCCAGGTCCACTTTCTCCATTACTTTATTCCTTTCCTGCTTTGCACTGACAAGGAGACTCATTATGGTTTTGAAATAACGAAATTCATCTTCAAGCACAGAAAATCCTTGCTGCCATAAGCAATCTTTCATAATTTTTCCTTTTATTTAACCTTCGCTTGAGAAGGGAAATGTAATTTGCATATATCTGACTTGAGTGAAGTCTTCATTTATTAGGGGTTAGGGAGAGACTCAGTTTAGTGGGAATGGAATTTTCAAGAAAGGTCAGAATCAAAATCACAAAATATGGTTCCCCCAAAACTTAACATTGAAACAGCTATAAATATGAAGCATCATCTCTTCAGCTTCAGCCCCAGGCGCCCCTCTCCTGAAAAAAATCCTAATGAAATACATCCTTGACTCATAAAATCTATCTATTCTGGCTATTAATTTCACAGTCTGACCCACCTCAGAATAACATGAGTAAAAGGAAAACTTGGGGCACGTGGGTGGCTCAGTCGTTCAGCATCTGCCTTTGGCTCAGGTCATGATCCCAGGGTCCTGGGATGGAGGCCCGCATGGGGCTCCCTGCTCAGTGGGAAGCCTGCTTCTCCCTCTCCCACTCCCCCTGCTTGTGTTCCCTCTCTCGCTGTTGAATAAATAAATAAAATCTTCAAAAAAAAAAGGAAAACTTAATCAAATAAATCCATAATCCATTATTGCTGTAGCAAGCTAATCCAGAATTTTTTGAACAAAGGGGGATTCCCATCTCTTTTACCCTATATCTCTCCTTCCCCAACCCATAAGCACTCTAATACCACCCATATTGTATAAGGCCTTATAACAGAATCTTTACAGCATTTTGCTGATATTTAAACAGAATCCTTCCCCTGCTTTCTACTCTAGGGTGAAACATGGTAGAAGATTCTACTATATATGAAACCATACCATCTCAGCTAGTGAAAAATGAGCATGAGAAATAATGCAATATAGCACTTTAAACAGGAGGCAAGGTAAATTACCCAAAATCCCCATTTTATGTTAGCCACATGATTTGAAGCTGAGAAGCCTTTACATTTTCTATAACATAAAACTCATTCCATCCCCTTGCCCTAAAGATACTATTAACCTCCACTGTCTGCAGTGGAGCTGGAGGAAATAAATGTCCTTTGACCTCTAAACATATATACTTACAGCCTTCAAGATGTGCTGTCAGGATGCAAGTTTTTAAAGTACTAGTATGGAAAATATATACAAAAGTAGAGATGCTAGTATAATTAACCTTCTTGATCCCATTGCCTGGTTTCAATAATGATTAACTCATTCTTGTTTCCTTTATAGCTCCACCCACTCGTACCCCCACCTTGCCACTGGATTATTTTGAAGCAAATCCCAGACATCAAATAATTTCATCCATAAATATTTTTGCATTTATCCCTAAAACTATAACCCACAACATCATTATTACATGATAAGATACACTTTGATCATATACAGGTACTTGTCCCATTGGTGCTGACCACCTCTCCACTTCCCCTTTAAGAATGCTACCCTTCTGTCTGGAATTTTCCTCTTTCCTTCTCTTCCTGTCCTGCCTGCCTCTTCAGTTTATGTGCCACTTCCTCAAAGAAGCTTTCTCTGACCAACCTCCATTCTCCCTTCATATAACTTTAAACAAATAATTAAAGAAGGAATTATTGAACTAATATCTCTCCTCATTCTTCACCTCCCCTGCCACAAACTGTAAGCTCCTTGAGGGCAAGAACATGGTCTCTGTCTTGTTCACCATCTTGTTCCCAGTTCTAAGCACAGAGAATAAATAATTGTTGACGTAGTGAAAATCATTCCATCTCAGACTCCCAAAGGCTGGAAAAAATCCACCTGTAGTAAATTGTTTGCAAATATGTGTGAATAATTTGTATAATTACTCTTCCTACAACCACACCCTTGGATATTCCCCCACTGACTCTGAACTTAACTATGGGTATTAGTTATCTGTTGCTATATAACAAGTCACTACTAAGTTAAAACAACTCCATTTCTACGGGTCAGGAACCCAGGCATAACTTGGGTAGGTCCTCTGCTTCCAAGTTTCTCACAAGAACGCAATGAAGGTGTGGGGCATGGTTGCATTGACACCTAAGAGGTTCAACTGGGGTTGGGTCTGCTTCCAAGTTCACTCACTCACTGTTTGTTGGCAGGATGGAAATGTTGGGCTGAGGGTCTCAGTTCCTCACTGGTTATTCGCTAGAGAGTTCTCTCAGTTTCTTGTCACGTGGACCTCTCAGTAGGGCAGTTCACACGTGGCAGCTTGCTTTACTGGAGCAAGCACACAGAGTCAAAGAGAGTGTTACAGTCTTTTATAACCTAATCTTAGAAGTGATATCCCATCAGTTGTACCGAATTCTATACATTAGCAGCAAGTCCTGAGGTCTATCCCTCATACAGGGGAAGGAGATTACACAAAGACATGAATATCAGGAGGCAGGAATTATTGGGAACCGCATCATGTGAGTTGCTTTAGCCAAGGAGAGAATAGCAAACTTGGCATCGCAAGGAATTCCAAAGAGTATGCTCAGTGGAGTTCCTCTCTTTTTATGTTTGGAACCCTGAGAGCACCAGGTGTACAAGACTGATGGAGGATGAAATGCCTTATGGAGGAAAATGAAGGCACCCCACATGATGAGCAGCCAATCTCCAGCCGATCAATGGTCTACCAACCACAAGAACTATCAGTGAAGCTCTACTAGATCATCCTAGACCCACTAGCTGATCACAAAAGCATGAGAAAGTCCAGTAGAAATCTGCTGAGCCAGTTTTGACCTGAACAGCCTCCAGGACACTCTACAGAATCAGGAGCTACATAAAGCAGTTGTAAAACCTACTGTTTTGGACAGTCTCTTACAGAGTAAAAGCTAACTGATACACCCACTGATCCTCTCTTGTTATAGGCAAAGTAATTGAGGATTCAAGAGGCTAAGTGACTTGCTCATGTCACAGTAGAGCAGACATAGTGGGGAAAGTTCTCTAGGACCTGGCATTGAAAAAATGCAAATGGTTCAAGTCTAAGCTCTGTTGTTTTCTGGCTGGGAGACCTTGGCAGATCCCTTATGCTTTCTGGGCTTCAATTTCTTCATAAGCAAAACAAAACAGAAGGTTTTCCAGAACATCTTTTTTCACCCGAAGCTCTGACTTGTCCATTTGGGTATATATAGATGGAGCTAGGGTTAAAATCCTTTCAGTGCAGATGGTCATTTGTGAATAATCAGATTTTGCCTTCCTATTCTATTGCACGTATTTGTCTGATGCTAATGTCAGTTGTATCTATGTACACCAACAGTTCTGAACACCTT